TACCTGATGCCTCTGACCTCCAGGGGTATTATTGTGCTTGTTCTTACAACCTGACTCCACACACCATACATAGTTAAAAGTGATTTTAAGATAATCTTTTCAAAAAAAGCAAATTCCAGGGTTGGGGAGATGGCTTAGTGAATAAAGCATTTGCCATACAAGCATGAGGACCTGGCTTGGATCCCCAGAACCCACATAAAGCTAGCTGGCAGTAATTTTATGGTGCCACGGTAAATAGAGACAGGAGAATCCTACAAGCTTATTATGGCAAACAACTGTGACTCTGTCTCAAACAAGGAAGAAGATGAAGTCAGACACCCAGTGTTGTCATGTATCTATATGTGTATCTATACATGTGATGGTTTGAATAAGAATGACACCCAGTGGCTCACATATTTGAATGGTTAGTCACTATTTGAAAGGATTAGAAGGATTAGGAGACAAGGCCTTGTTAGAGGAAGTGGGTCACTGGGGGTGGGCTTTGATGTTTCAAAAGCCCATGCCAAGCACAATGTCTCTTTCCCTCTGTGCCTGCAGATCAGGATGTAGCTCTCAACTGCTTCTCCAGCACTAGTGCTGCCATGCTTCCCACCATGATGATAATGGACTAAATCTCTGAAACTATAAGCCATTCCCAATTAAATGCATTTTTTTTATAAGTGTTGTTTTGGTCATGGTGTCTCTTCACCGCAATAGGACAGTGTATAAAATACTACATGAAGATTTTTATTAAAAAAAAAAAAAACAAATTCCATGTTCTACTGATCGTAAAAACTGGGAGCACCTGACTTTGAGAGAGACCTTGAGATTCACAGGCCTGGCTGGTATGACACATTCTGCCAAGAAGATAATGTGTAACATTTTAATACTGTAATTCTATGTTAAGTATATAACTAAAAAAACAATCAAGTTGTACATGCAAGGATGTTTTGTCAGTGTTTGATTTCTAGACAACCACTGAGCTATATCCCTAGTCCTCAAAGTTTAATTTTTAAAAAATTATTACATTTATTTGTATGTGTGCATGTGCCCAAGCCATGGCACAGATGTAGAGATCAGAGGACAGTTTTTGGAAATCAGTTCTCTCCTTCCACAATGTGGATCCTGGGAATTGAACTCAGGTTATCAGGCTTCCCTGTTGAGTTGTCTCATTGACCTTTAACATGTAATTTCTTTTTTTTAAAGATTTATTTTTGTATATGAGTACACTGTAGCTGTATATGAGTACACTGTAGCTGTATATGAGTACACTGTAGCTATCTTCAGACACACCAGAATAGAGAGGGCATCAGATCCCATTACAGATGGCTGTGAGCCACCTTGTGGTTGCTGGGAATTGAACTCAGGACCTCTGGAAGAGTAGTCAGTGCTCTTAACCTCTGAGCCATCTCTCTAGCACCCTAATAATTTCTAACAACAACAAAAAATGACTGCCCACAATATAAAACACTAGAGTAACAGGGTTTATGGTATAATACTATATGATCCCAATTTTAAAACATGCATATATAAAATATGTAGACAGTCAAGTCAGTGGCCAGGCTGGCAAGATGGCTCAGCATACTGGTAAAGGCACTTGCAACTCCCACTGCCAGGACCCATGTGGTGGAAGGAGAGAACTGACTTCTAAGAGTTGTCCTCTGCATGTGTGCCACGGCAAGAGTTACTGACAACACTAAATAAATTAAATTACACACACACACAGAGGTGATATTAGAGAGGATTTAAATTTGATTTTCTTTGAATTTTTTGTCTTTTGTTCTTCTGTTTTAAGCTTTCTTGAGTTTCAATTGGATTTTTTAAAAATTTGGCAAAACATGCAGATTAGCAACAATGAATATATTTAGCATATTAACTGGCTGTGGTCACACAGTACTACAGAGAGGAAAGCATAGAATGCGAATAGTAACTTTTTAAGTTTTTTATAAGGGGTTTTTATGTAACTATAGCTGTCCTAGAACTCACAATGTAGACTTGATCTCAAACCCATAGAAATCCCCGTCTCTGTTTTTTGAGTGCTGGGAATAAAGGTGTATGGGCAAATAACTCATGTTATAACTATAATTCTGATAGCTTCCTCCCTCCCTCCCTCCCTCCCTCCCTCCCTCCCTCCCTCCCTCCCTTTCTTTCTCTCTTTCTTTCTCTCTTTCTTTCTCCCTGACCCTTCCATTTTTGAGACAGGGTTTCTCTATGTAGCCCTGGCTATCCTGGAACTCACTCTATAGACCAGGCTAGCCTCAATCATAGAGATCTGCCTGAGTCTACTTCCCAAGTGCTGGGATTAAAGGTGTACACCACCATCACCCAGCTTGAGAGCTTTCCTCCCTCCCTTCCTTCCTTCCTTCCTTCCTTCCTTCCTTCCTTCCTTCCTTCCTTCCTTCTTTCCCCCCTCTGTCCCTCCATCCCTCCTTCTGTCTCCCCTTCCCTCCCTCCCTCCCTCCCTCCCTCCCTCCCTCCCTCCCTCCCTCCCTCCCCAAAGACAGGGGTCTCAAGCATCTCAGGCTGTCCTCTCTATATAGCTGAAGATGACCTTGAACTCCTGAGCCTCCTGCCTCTTAAAGAGCTGGGATTACAAGTATGTACCACCACACTTGGTTTATGAGGTACTGTCAATCAAACCCATGACTTCCTGCATGCTATGTAAGTACTCTGACAACTGACCTATGTTCCAACCCTTCTAAACAATGTCAAAGCAATCTACATTTTCTGTAATAAACCTCTATTATTTTATTAGTTAGTCAAGACAGTGCATTTGCAAACTCTCACAATAGACAAGAG